GCGCAGCAGCAGCAGCAGGCAGCAACTCCAGCGCGGGCCGCATGCGCCCCGGAAGCCGCACAGAACGCGCAGCCACAAGACCCAAAACAGCAAATAAGAACAGAGCCAAAACGCCGGGGGCCCCCAGGGGCCCCCCGCGGGGCCGGGGGGCCCCCGGGGAGGCCCGCAAGCCACGGGAGGGGCCCTTTTGCTGCAGCGCCTCAGTGGGTATGGAGGGAGAAAGGGCCCCGGGGGCCCCCGCGGCCCCCGCGGCCCCAGGGGCCCCTGGGGCCCCTGGGGCCCCCCGCGCCGCCGGGGCCCTCGGGGCCCCCGGGGTCAAGTAGAGGCCGCGGATTGGGCCAGTGGTCCTGGGGATTGGCAAGGCTGCGGAGTCGTAGGCGCGCTGGGACTCCGGCTCCGGGTCCCGGGGCTCCTCACTGGTCCATTGGTCCACTGAAGTGGGGGAGCCAGCCTCGGACTCCGTCTCTACAGCTTCCCAGAGCGAAGCAGCGGGGCTGTTGGCCGCTGCGGGCACTGCGGCCAGTGCGACTGCTGCGAGCCATGCAACGGAGCAGGTGGGGAGGGGCAAGAAACGCATTATTGGGGCCTTCAGCAGCTCATAGCACCATTCAAATGCAGGCTTTTCGACTTTTGCAAGCTCAGCAGCGCCAAACACACGCGAAATCGCCGAAAAATGACTTCAAACGGACCCTCCAAGCCCAAGACGCTGCGGGAGCGCCGAAGCGAAGCAACCCTCCCTGCCCAGCGCGCCTTCTGCTGCAGCTTCCTTTTTCAAACCTCTTCCAGGCTTCTATAAAGCTTATTTATTTGTTCTACACTCAGACAAAGGGCAGTCTGATCCGCGAAAGACGAGGACGGGGAGCGCCTGCCGCGCCCGATCTTGCAGGAGCAGCCGCCACCGCAGCAACAGCAGACGCCAAGAGTTCAGTGCCCCCGCTGCAGCCCTGGGATCCTTTTTTTGCGCAAGACATAAAGTTAAAAAGGGTATTTCGGGGGCTTGGGGAGGGCGGGCTAGCCCGACTACTGCAGCTGCGGCTTGCTGCGCCGCAGCCGGTTTTCTTGTACAATCGAACACTAGACACCGCTGCGGCCAGCCCTACGCTTTCCCGCAGTTTCCAACTTGAAATTAAACGCAAATAAAAAGCTTTTGGAAACTCACGAGCATCTGCGTCTGCAGACGTTGCGGGGGAGGCGAAAGACTCTGCTGAGCACTTGGCACCCTCGCGGTTTGCTGCGCAGCAGCAGATGCTGCAGCAGCAGAAACCGCCGCAAAAAACGGAGTTTTCTCTTTTAAAATACTTTTCAAAGATCTCCGCGCCGGCCTGTGGGCGCAGGCCCTGCGAAAAGGAAGATAGAAGCTGCGTCGCCAGCTCTAGACACCGTTTGCTGCAGCGCCTGTAAGACACTGCAGCAGCTCGAGCCCGCCTGCTGCAGCGAGAGCTGCTGCCACTCCAAGGCCCGGAAAACGGGCCAGGAAGCAGCAGCGCTGCAGCCGTAGCCCTGCAGCAGCGCAGCAGGACTTAGGAATCCCGTGCTGCAGCAAATTCAATCCTTACCTGATCTGTAGCAACGCCGCGGCTCCATCTTGCTGCACTGCTGCACTCTTTCACACGCTTTTTGCTGCGGCCTGCAGCCTTAAAAAGAGCAGCAGGAAGCTGTTCTGCTGCTGAGTGCAGCAAAGCTACCAGCCCCAAGTGCCCGTGGCTTCTTAGCAGCCACCTGGCATCTTTGCTGCCACTTTCGAAGAAATAGTTTAGAAAAAATGCCAAATAGAAGTCCCAGGTATTCATAAAAGGGATTTGAGCTCTTCTGTGCTGCAGTTGAAGCTCCGTTGGGGCCGGATCTTCGCACGTTGATCCTGCTGCTGCAGCGGCAGCTGTTGCTGTGTAGCTGCGCAGCCAGCAGCAGCAGCAGCAGCAGCAGCAGTTGTGGGGGTTGAAGGTACTTTAAGGGGCAGTTCGAAGCAGCAAAGACAGCCTCGACGCACTTAGAAATAGCCAGTTTGCACAGAGGTGGCCAAAGGCCTCAGCGAGCAGCAGGAGCTGCTGGGACTGCTGAAATGCATCAAAAAGTGTTTCAATTTACTTTTATTTCAAACATTTCTTCTTCAATTAACCCCCCAGCCCGCAGCAAACTGCACTGGGGCCCCACACTTCAAGTTTGGGGGCCTTTGGCTGGCAGCAGACTTGTGGTTTTGCTGCTTTCTATATTTCTTGAAATCCGGCTAAGACCCAATTCAAGTAACGCTTGTTCTTCAGCGCTGCTGCTGCTGCTGCAGTTTTCCAGAAGTTCTGCTGCTAATAAACAATTCGGAAGACACCCACAGACACCGTGTTGCTGCCACTCAGCCCTGAAAGAAGAAAAGCCCAAACTGCAGCAAAAGGAAAGCGTCTGCTGCCGGTGTGGCTTTTGCTGCTGCAGCAGCAGCAGCTGCAGCAGCAGCAGCAGCAAAAATATCGCCTTAAAGTGCTGGCTGCGGCGCAGCACTCGATATATGCCTCTAAAAAATAAATAAAAGGTAAATATAACTAATTGCATTTCTTTCTTCTTCTCCAAAAGCAAAAACTCTTGTAATCTGCAGCCAACCAAGTGCATCTATAACACCCCCGCTTAACTATGAACTCCCTTTGCTGCTGCTCTATTCACATTTTGCTGCTGCTCCCAACGGCAGCCTCAAGGCCGCAGCAGCTTCTCTCTTAGCATCATTTGTGCTGCCTTGGGAGTTGCTGTAGGCTAAAGCCCTGCCAAAGTTCAGAACAACTGCAAAGCTAGCTGGCTAGCTAGCTGGCTAGCTTTCTATCAAGGTATAAATCTACCTAGCTAGCTAAGTGGCTAGCTAGCTATCTACCTAGCTAGCTAGCTAGCTTTCTAGTTGGCCAGATATCTTCCTACCTAGCTAGGTAGCTAGCTATCTAGCTAGTTATCTAGTTATCTAGCCATCTAGCTAGCTAGCTCTCTAGCTAGCTATCTAGTTAGCTAGCTAGCTAGCCAGATAGCTAGCCAGCTGTGCTGGGGGAAATGAATCTAATGGCTGTCGAGGCGTTGCTCGGAAAAGTGAGTGAAAAGAAGGAAATAAATCAGAGTTGCGTTGCTTAACACATGCAGCAGCAGCCGCAGCTGCTGCTGCTGCTGCCACTTCTGCTGCTGCTGCTGCCCTCACAGCCGTCTAGTTAGCCTTTGCGGACTCAAGCTAAGAGAAGCAGCTTTACTTAATTAGAGCTGCACAGGAGGCATAGGCTGCTCCCTGTCCGAAGCAGATGGACCCGGGGGGCCTTGCTGCTGCTGCTGCTGCGGCTGCTGCTGCTGCTGCTGCTGCAGCAGCAGGTGCGGCGGAACGCCCTGCGGCTGCAGAGGAGCTCCCACTGGGGCAGGCGCTGCAGCAGATGTTGCTGCTGCAGGCCAGGCGTCTGTTGCAGGAGACTTCCTCTTCGGTCTGTTGCTGCTAGTGCTGCTGCCTCTGCTGCCTCCTCCCCGGCCTCTGCCGCCTCTTTGATGCTGCAGCAGCTGCTGTTGCTGAACGAGCAGCTGCTGCTGCTGCTGCTGCTGCTCCAGCTGATGCAGCAGTTGCTGGTGCTGCTGCGGCTGCTGCTGCAGTTGCTGCAGCAGCTGCTGGTGGTTTTGCTGCAACTTCTGTTGCATTTGAAGCTGCTGAAGCTGCAGCTGCTGCTGCCGATGGTGGTTGTTCTGCGGCTGCTGCTGCTGCAGCAGCTGCTGCTGCAGCTGCTGCTGCGTCTGGTGCAAGTGCTGGAGCTGCTGCGCCAGAGGCAAGTTAAACATAAGGCCCATTTCTGCCCCCACATGCCGCTGCGCTAGCTGCTGCATTATGAGGCCAAGGGCTCCTGCTTGCAGCATGGGCTGCCCCTGCTGCTGCTGCTGCAGCGGCTGCTGGAAGGCTTGCTGCTGCTGCTGCTGCTGTTGCTGCTGCTGCTGGGTCTGCAGCAGCGCCGCCGGCTCCCCCGACGAGCGCAGCAGCTGCTGCAGCAGCAGAGG